TCACCCAAGACAGGCTTGGAAACTAATCTGGGGTTCAAAAAGCCTAACTCTAAGGAGAAGCAATAATTTTAGTCCCTCATATTCTATTCCATCCTGGAAGAAATCCAAGCCAGAGAGGTCCCCCCCCCCACCAGATGCACCCCAAATATCTCCCTCCATGCCCAGAAGCACTCTTTGCCATTTCCAAACCCTAGAATACAATCACACTTCCCTTCCCTTTGAATAGGCCTCCCTCATTCCGTCTCTAAAATTCCAGTGTGCTGATCAGAGCACATTGGGATGTGGCAGACAGCAGTGATGTGTATCATCATGGAAAACAATGTTCTCCTGCGGGCTTTCACAATTGCCTTTGGTCTCATGAGAAGAGGAAGAGGAAGGCCAAAAGTCAGTGGTAGAGCATTGGCTTTCCATGCAGAAGACTCCAGGTTCCCACCTCCAGCTAGAACCCAATATTCAGATGGGAATGTTCTCCATCAGAAACCCCGGAGAGCTGCTGCCAGACATTGCATGGACAGGTGGAGTCCCCCCAACCCCAGGCGACTCCCGAGCGGAATAAGGACTCAAGACAACGTGCTATGGGATTAAAATTGGCCACAACTTTATTAAGTTTCAGATGTAGGGAGACCTTGGCTCAGGCATTGGGCATTTATCCTTCCCAGTCCCCAGCCGTGGATCTGGGAGACTTCAGGGTTATCCAGAATGTGTGGGGATTGGGCTGGTTCTGCAGAACATATGTTCAAGCAGAGAGCCTGCCCCCTGTTTTGCTACTGTTGCAGCGGAGAGCAATGACAACCTCTTGGCATATGGCCAATGCCTCCCCTCAAGACCCCTTTAACGGGGAACCCTGGGATCACCGCCGCAAGGGGGGGGCATGGGTCACTGCTTCACGCCCCCCCCCCCATTTAGGAAGATAGACTAAAGGATTCCGCCCAAGGCCTGAAACCTCCAAAGTTGTGACATTTTGCTACGGGAAAGGCAAAACCTGCCAATGCAGGAAAATTCCTTTCCAGCCCTTCAACAGCGACCCTGACATAGCAGTGCCTGCATACCTGTGAAGGGAGGGGAGGGTGTGAGAAGCTCTGGAGCCAACTGCCACTTCACAGGTAAGATTCACCTTCTGTCGTGTGGGCAGGACGGCCCCTTCCCTTACCTGGCCAATCCCCTGGCAACGCCTCCCCAGGCGGGATTGGGCGATTGGCAGAGGTAGGTGGAGACCTCCAGGTATCCAGCCTGGGGAGGATGAAGCCAGCCCAAACTACCAGGGGAAACTCGGGGGGGCTGCACGCGACCACGCAAAAGGCGCCCCCATTGTGGACAGTACTGACCTGGATAGATCAATGATTTTGCTCAGTATAAGGCAGCTTCCTGTGTTGCTAAGGGGGAGTGTCATGGGTCAAGGAAGCAGTCAGAGAGAGCTCTTTGGATTAGCTGATTCTGTGAAAAATTGTATGATTTCTCTATTCCCCCCCTCCTTGGGGAAATTGTGTAATTTCCAAGACAATCCAAGTGAAGCCTTGGAAAGCATGTCCATCTCTAACATTGGGTGGGTAGGTGTGAAATTTTCTGAGCAAATCTGAATTTGCTTGGGAAACCCCCTTCTTTCCCCAAATTGGTCTCAACTCTAATTTCAGCACAGCCTCCTTCTTTTTTTGCACTCAACTTGCCAGATTTGACAGGAGGTGGCGACAGATAATTTAAGCAGCATGTGCTACTCAAGTGATCAATGAAACATTCAGTACCAAACTTTTTTGTTTGCTTTGCTCTGCTATATTCATTATTCAGTAGGTAATGTGACCCCCACCCAGCCACCCGCAAATCTGTGTCTTCCTTGGAGCATTTGACTTTTCCTTTTATCGACTTGCCTTTGCCAGTGAGATAAAACTGGAGTGCAGATCCCTGTAGAAAGATAGTGTTTCTGCAAGGAAGACACAGGGAAGAGGAAACATTTGCTGCTTCGAGTCTCATTTGTATCTGGGTTAATTGCACTTCCCGGGGATGTGTCTAATTGATTTGTGGAGAGAGGACTAACTGTCTGCCACTTGGCAATGATGCTGCAGAACTGAATCTCTCTTTCTGCTGGGGCAGAAAAGACAGAGCCCATCCGGAGCCTGTAGATGAGAGGATTTCCAAGGGCTGAAGGGCTGGGGAAGGGGCATAGCTCAATGGCAGAACACCTGCCAGGCATGCAGAAGATCCCAGGTTCAACCCCCAGCAACTCCAAGCAGTGGCAGAGTAAGGTGAGGGCGGTGGGGGCAGCCCCCCCGGTGTCATCCTAAGGGGGGTGACATTCGCTGCAGCCTTGGGAAATTGGGAGCACACTCCTAGCTGGAGGAGGCAGGCAGGCAGGGGAAAGGAAGGGAAGGAGGCAGATGAGGAAACAACGGAGGGGGCGGGAAGGGGAGAGGAAGGAAGCAGGATCAGTGGGTGTGCCTGGAAGACGAGCGCCTACAGCTGGACTATCAAGTGGATTTAAAGGGTCACTTCAGGGGTGGTGCTGCAAACACGGAAGGGATTTTGGCCGGAGCGTAAAAAGGGAAAATGAGTTTCCCTCTGACAAACCGTTTCTGTCTCACCTCTGCAAAGCTCCACATGTTTCTGTCCAACCCTGTCCTCAGCCAACCCTCCACTTAGAAGCCACTCTTGGGTTATTGACTTCTGTGTGCTTGCAGTGTATCTGGGTCTCCCTTGTATCTATTAGGGACTATTCTCTCACCTTTCCTTTGATATCTATGCTACTGATTACTTCTGCCATTTTAATTTTAGAGAAAGTGTTTAATTTAAAAATGTTCTGTACTATAAAGTAACAGTGGTAACAAAACATTGAAAACAAGTAAATATTTTGGGGAGGGTGGTCCCAGAGCCCTAGTGCCCCCATCCCAAAGAGGATCAAATGGGCGGACTTTGGTACTCTTTTCCCCTCCCCTCCCCCAATGTCTTTCTCTCTATCTGAGCTGGCTCCCTGCCTGTTACGTTACATGTGGGGAAACCCGTGTGGGGTTCCTCTCTGTGTAGTCTTCAAGCTGTTCCTGCGCACGCCTGACAAATCTGCCCCATTGTCAAAATTTACCTTTTCCCCCACTCCAGTCTCCGTTGTTGGGTGTCCTGGCTGAGGGGAAAACAGAAGACAGATGGCCATCGGTCAGGGATGGTCTAGTTGAGATTCCTGCATTGCCCCAGGGGTTTGGCTAGATGACCTCAGGGGTCCCCTCCAACTCTACAGTTCTCTGGTGCAGGCTTGTGCAGAGTTTTAGGTACAAGTTGGATGCAAGGGGTGCAAACGATTGCAGCGCATCTTATGCACCGTCGGCTCAGGAATAAGTCCCACTGATACTGATGAGACCAGATTGCTGCTGTGCAGTCCTGTTTTTTAAATAAACCTTTCCCTTTTCAGATAATACAGAGCATGGTGATATCACAATAAATAAAACCTCGCCTTCAGTAGTTTCAAGCACTACTACAGGTTCCACAGAATATCTGTACTGCATTGTTTACTGTGACAGCACCTGCACTTTGGAACTCCCCGCCTCTTGCAACAAAGCACGTGCCTTTGCTAGACTCTTTTCGGGCACTTGCTAAAAGCATTCTTCTTTAGGCAAGTATACCCAGATGCTTAGGAAGTTGAAGTAAATTTAATCTGTTTTAATATTTTAGCTTTTATATGTTTTAAATTAGGGTTGTTAATTTTTCTTGATTTTACTGCTGTGGTGTTTTTTTGTTTTGGTAAACCACTTTGAAGGTTTTAATAAACAATAAATATAAATATAAATAAAATAATACAAGCCTAAACACAATCCAGCCTGTAGATTTAAGTATCTGTCCACAGTCACCTACTTGTTATCAGAGGCCCAGAATCCACATTCCTTTGTAAGAAAATAAGAAATAAAGTCAAACCATTTTTGCAGGCAAAAATAAAATAAAATTCAGTGTGTGTGCATGTGCCAAGAATTTTCCGCACTGGGTACCACTTGACCTTGCTACACCACTGGGTTGTCCCTCTAGTGGGGAACACATTGTGCTCCTTCTGGGGTATTTTGTTCCTCACACCTGTGGCTCCTAGAAGCTGCCAGCATGTGACAGTGACCACATCCCAGGAACGGCTTTGACTGGCTGGCTAAACCAAACCCTGGGTCTCAAACCCTCTGTCAGTTAGGGACTTCCCCTGCATGCGAAGGTAGGCTCTGGCTGGCTGATTGAGCAGACGAGACCAAGAGTGGGTCCAATCATCAAAAAGGCGGTTTCTGCATGTGCTGTAGAGGGAAGTGAGGGGCAGATGGGGCTTGTCCACCTGGGAAGGTCGCCCATCTAAGAGAAGGAAAACTCTGATCCTAAACATCTCCTGCCTTGACCTGCTTGGTGTTGCTGAAGTACAACTCCCATCAGCCCCAGTATGTGCAGTGACCAGTGATGATGGCGACTGAAGTTCAGCAGCATCTGGCAGCCCAAAAGTTCCCGGCACCAGCACTACTGAAATACATGGGAGCACCCTGGAATCACTACTGCAGTGAGACAATGGCCTCGTCTCCTTGTCCCTCTCTGCACTGCCCAACCCAAGTTTCTTGAGTTCTCTTGGTTCTATTCCCACTTCCTTGTGGAGGAAGAAAAGATGGCAGTTAATGATTAGAGACCAAGGTTCACACAGGTGTCTGTTTATTTACGTTTCGCTTTTATCATGCCCTTCTTCCAAGGAGCTCACATTCTACCTCACCCCAGCAGCCTTGTGAGGTTAAGTCAGGCTGAGATATGTCTATGATCATCCACTGTGATCTTCGCATAGGGAAAATAATAACCTTTTACTTAGACAAGAAAGGGTTTCCAGTCTTCCTTAAAATATTCTAAATTTGTATCTTTTAACAGTTCCATCCATTTTGCCATCTCTGCAATATGCCAGGATTTTGATCAGGTGATCATATCAAAGGGGATTGTGAGCTGGGCCCACCCGTACCTGGAGATGCCAGAAATTGAACCCGGGTCCTTCTAAATGCTAAGCATGTGCTCTGCCACTGAGCTACAGCCTTTAAGGGGGGGGGCAACTACCAGGACGCCTTTGACCAACACTCTCTCCTTCCTAAGTAAAGTTAGGGTCAAACTGCCCTTCCCACGATCAGGGGAAACACAAAGGGCCAGGCTGTCAGGGATGCAGGTCAGCATGAAGAAGCAAAGGCAGTTTTCAGTGCTCAGTCAACTTTTTTATTCAAGGAAATGAACATACAACTCAGCGACTTCCCAGTAGGTCTTGCCCCTGTGCAGCAGTTGTCAGGACTGACGGTCCCTGCCTTCTAGGACTCCTGCTCTCCCCAGCAGTCTCAAACAGCATCTGAGCATCTTTGGCCTCTGTTCCACTCTCCTCATTATTCTGTGTGTTCTTGGAGACAAGGCTGGAGGGGAGCTTGTTGCAGCAGGAGAGGGAGACTCCCTGGATTCCTCAGCAGTCTCTTGTCGCCCCTCCTCTGCTTCAGCCTTGGAGTCTGAACTGCTCCCTTTCACAGGTTCTTCCTGCTCCCGAATCTTTGTTGCCCCTTCAGCATCCAGATCCTCCTCTCCATCTTCTCCCTCTGATCTCCCCTCAGTGTCCAAATTGCAGAAATTGGCCTCTTTGCTTATAGTGACCACTGACACATGGCTTTAAAAACAAAAAGAGGAGGAGACTAATTTGCAAATGCTGTATATGTATGCACATTTAAAAATGATTGCTACCCTACTGAGTCATACAAAATAGAATGTTCTCTCAGGGAAAAAACAAACTTAAGAGTTACAAAGAAATCTGCTGCAAAAGGCTTCCACTTCCGACGACTCAGTCACTGCAACCTGAAAGAGCCATAGCACAAACAGTTTCATACAGAACACAATACAGATTTCCTCCCTAGCCAAGCAAGGGATACTCACCTAAATGTATGTCAATCATGGAATACCATTTTGACTAAAGCAGCACTGTCCTAATGCTGGTGACTCTCACTGCAGGGATTTTCTTGAAGTATCAAGAGCTCTTACTCACACTGCGTCTTTCTCGCCAACTGAACAGATTTGCTTCAGGTACAGTGAGCTCTGGGAAGCCTGAAGAAAGGAGGAGCTGGAACAAAAGGAAAGAAGGGCTGGAACAAAAGAAGAAGTGTTCTCCTACCTGCAGGTGAGTCTCATTGTGGGGACACGGAATAGGGCCTCTTCTGACGACTCAGTCACCGCAACCTGAAAGAGTCTTAGCACAAAGAATTGTAGAACACAACAGAGATTTTCTCCCTAGCCAAGCAAGGGATACTCACCTAAATGTCCTTCAGTCCTGGAATACCATTTTGACCACCATTTTTGACTGAAGCTAGATAAGCCATTAATCTAGAGGGGCAGAACAGAGAGATGCGATTCAGACTTAAATCTCTGCCATTAAGCTTGGTGTGGAAAGAGGAAAGATTGCTCAATGCTCACCCTTTCGTTTGTCCATTTGAGGTGTGACTTGGCAGCTCCTTCAGTTGGGTTACAATCAAGAGTCACTAGTTTGTCCCCAGCCACCTTTCACCAATCCTGCAGAAAATAAGTTTTGTGTTGTTTTTTTTGTTTTTGTTTTTTTAATTCTTACCACTGTGACTTCTGGGACTCAGCCGGAAGAGCTGGCTTCATTTGAGTGTTGCAGGATCTTTGGAGAGAACTGCGAAAAGACCATCAGAAAAGAAAATGGGAAAAAGGAGAGACCCATACAAAAAACATTGCCCTGGAAAAAAAATACTGAATGGTGCAACGTGAATTTACCTAAATCAGCACTGTCCTAGCGCTGGTGACTCTCACTGCAGGGTTTTTCTTGATGTATCAAGAGCTTTTACGCACATTGCATCTTTCTCATCAACTGAACAGATCTGCTTCAGGTACAGTGAATTCTGGGATGTCTCTACTTTTTAAGATGCTGTCTAGGTTTGTCATTGCTTTCCTCCCAAGAAGCAGGCGTCTCTTAATTTCGTGGCTGCTGACACCATCTGCAGTGATCATGGAGCCCAAGAAAGTAAAATCTCTCACTGCCTCCATTTCTTCCCCTTCTATTTGCCAGGAGGTGATGGGCCCAGTGGCCATGATCTTCGTTTTTTTGATGTTGAGCTTCAGACCATATTTTGTGCTCTCCTCTTTCACCCTCCATAAAAGGTTCTTTAATTCCTCCTCACTTTCTGCCATCAAGGTTGTGTCATCTGCATATCTGAGGTTGTTGATATTTCTTCAGGCAATCTTAATTCCGGCTAGGGATTCATCCAGCCCAGCCTTTCGCATGATGAATTCTGCATATAAGTTAAATAAACAGGGAGACAAAATACAGCCTTGTCGTACTCCTTTCCCAATTTTGAACCAATCAGTTGTTCCATATCCAGTTCTAACTGTAGCTTCTTGTCCCACATAGAGATTTCTCAGGAGACAGATGAGGTGATCAGGCACTCCCATTTCTTTAAGAACTTGCCGTAGTTTGCTGTGGTCGACACAGTCAAAGGCTTTTGCATAGTCAATGAAGCAGAAGTAGATGTCTTTCCAGAACTCTCTAGCTTTCTCCATAAGAACGGTACACTCCTCCAATCTGGGATGGTCGTCCTCTTCCACCAAGTGCGTTGCTTCGGGAGGGATGCACATGGAGCGGTGAGGGATACAGCATAATCCACCCCCTTAACACATTTGTCAGTGAGATCATAGGCCATGATTTTAGAGTTATTACTACCACAGCCACCTTACCTATTGGTGATAGTTTTGCCTGCCCTGTTGTATCTTTTGATGTCCGTTTCCCATTGATTATGTAATCTTGTCATTGCTGCTGGAAAGGCCAGTCATTTCAGTACAGCTCTACTCACTACAATGCTTCTCAAGCATTCGTTCTCCCTCCACTGGAATCCTCCACTTGCAAGACACACTGGAGACATATTCCAGAGTTCAAGGCTCCATTTTAAGATGGGAATATACAGAAAGGAGAGGCCAGTACAAAAGCATTGCATTGAAAAAGATCACTGAGTAGTCTTCATCCAAAGACTAATTAGTTTGTAAGGTAAATAAAACATTGACTTTAAAGTGTCTTAGCACAAGAAGTGCAGGTGGAAAAGAGTTTTTCTCTCCAGCCAAGCACGAGATACTCACCTAAATGCCCTTCAGTCAGAATACATGCAACTGCATTGTTACTTTAATTATGATGTAGCGTTTCAAGTTTACTTGTTAGGTATTTGCACCTGTCACCACTTCTGACAAATCAAGAGTATTTAAAATTTACCTGCCTTCAACTGCAGCACTAGTTTCCAGATGGGAAGTTACTGGCAAAGGAAGCTGACTGCTAGATCTGGTTTTAAAATTGGTATTTTAAATATATTACCTTCAGTGCTAGAATATCCAAGTTTTTTGTATAGAGTCAACGCTTTGTGTTGTCTCAGCAATGAGCTAAATAGCTGTTCCTAGAAGATGTTTAGTGAAATTAAAATAAAATCCAAAATCCTTGGTTATTACCACTAGATAATCACGTTACACATCAGGGGTAATTTTGCCTGGCCTGTTCCATTTGAGCTCCATTTCCCATATCTTTTTGTAATCTTGCAAGTTCTGCTGGAAAGGCTTAGTGGAGTTGATGTTCTCGTCTGCTTTCTCATTAGATCCTCATAAGAACCCTGTGAGGTAGGTTAGGCTGAGAGATAGAGAACTGCTTCATGGCAGAGGGAGGATTTGAACTCTAGACTCCCAGGTCCTAATCCACCACTTTAGCCACTCTCAGGAACTTCCCTCAGAGAAAGCACTTTCCCACAGGATCCTGGACTTGCCATGTCCCTGAGCAGGTTCATCCTCAAAATGCTTTATTTGCCTTTTCAGCAAGTTTTTAACTTACCTGTCTTTCTCTCCTTCCAAGGCAACCTGAGCAAACATGAAATCCGAAGGAATGGTTTTGTCCTCTCCCTGTCTTCTTTGCTCTTTTTTTTCTCCACATGCACATTTCTAGCTTCAACAACCAAAAACTCCAACTTTCCATTCATGAAATGACTTATCTAGTTGGCTTTTAAAAGAAAAACCTTCTATTTTCCCTACTCATTCTCCCACTGCTTTAAGCAGACTTCATATCCGTGTACCCTTTCATGTGCTCCTTCTTTTCATCCAAATACTCATTAGTTTGAAAGGTAAATAAAACTTGATTCCCCCCTTCACATACCTTCATTTATCTTTATTTTCTCTTGGCGTTTCCAGTCCAGTATTTTTAATTTCCCTGATTCTCTTTAAAATCTCCATCTTGGTATTTTCCTCAGTTTTCAGTTTAAATTTTGCTTGGCTAAACTCTTTTGGAGGGACTTTCTCAAAGTCCCTCATCAGTCTACAATTTACTGTCCCTGTGTTATTAGGATTAAGTCTTTTTTGATCTTCTATTTTTCTTCAGTTTCCTTTTAGTTTAAAATTTAATGCTTCTCCTAACACTTTTTAGGGACAAATACCTGACTAAGATATATGCACACAGTATTTGAAATCAACCACAGCAGAGATCACAGATGAAAATTACCTGTGTCCCTTTTTAAAGTTGTAAACGATGAATTTCAGCAGAGTGCAATCCCTTCATTTACTCTAAAAAAAATTCCCAATGGTTTTGAAAAGTAATCTAACCTAAACTGGTTTCAGTTGCCCTTTCAAACCTGTTTCATCTTCCCAGCCTCCCTCTCCTAATCCCTCTGCCCATGAGCTCCTTCAGCTCCGACCAGTGAGAGGGCTAAAACCAGCATCACAGCCAAGGACAGGCTCACTCACCGGAATGCGGCTCGCTCCTTCCGCCACCAGGAGGTCATAACCACACATAAAAAAGTCCCTTGCAGCATTAATACAGTGGGTGCAAATGTCTTTATTTTTTACATGGGGTCACTTCAGGGCTTTGATGGGAAATGAGTATTTTCTTTCCAAATTAATACATTCTGGAAATACAAGGGAATTGAATTTGTAATCCACCCAGATCTCATGGATTACAAACTACAGGAACATGACCTGTACAGGAAAATAAGGGAAAGACTGTGGGAAGAGGGGCTGGCTTGGATCTCAGTGGCCCCCATTGAATTATATGGATGGGCTGCAATCTGGGGCACAGCTGGAAAGGACAGCAGTTGCTTCTCACTCCTGATACTTATGCTGTGTCTACACAACATTCTATGATAGAATGAATGAAGACTGGGTGCTTTTTTAAAAAAAAAAAATGGCTTAAAAAGAAAGAAAGTGGGGGGTAATTTTAAATCATTGCTCTTGTTTGCCCTTGAAAGATGCTGGCCATCTTTCCCCTGAAAATTGCTTTGTTGAAATAGAATACCTGCTTGGTGGATGGGAAGGGTTTGGAGTGACTGAAATAGATGTGCAGCTCCACTAATTACAGAAGAAAATTCATTTCACTATGACGATTAAAAACCTCAGTGTTTGATGCTTAAGAATGCCTTGTGAGGTTTAAAGTTAAGTGCTCTTTTCTCTGTTCTATCTCTGTCTTAACTTTAACTGCCATGACATGATTGCATAATTATTGTAGCTTGAAAACTGGGTGAATCTTAGCACAATGTGTAAAGGCACTTTCCAGATAATCATCACTGAAGTTGGACTTATTTTACAGGAAAGTAGTTAGAGGTGAGAGACCATGTGAAATTGCTTTGGATATGGTTTTATCCTCCTATTCACCACAGTTGTGTAATGCATGATGTCATTCATCCATTTGCCATTGCCAATAGAGTCAAAACTCTCCTAATCAGCATTCATTTTTAAAGGAATCTGCCTTGCTTGGTGCACTTCTTTCTTGCACTGGGCAAGGAAAACATTGCCACTGAGAGAGAGTAGAAGGCTGATCTGTTAGAAGATGGTAAACTGGTATTTTCCTTTAACATTTTAGCAGCCACTGGCCCATTTGAAAACGGGGGCTGACTGGTAGTATTCCAAATAAGACCACACTTGACTTGTCTAGCTTGATATCCTAACTACATATAATGTGACTGCAATGAAAGGTTTTTGCTTGAGATGATAGCTTGTTTGCATGACTATTCAGTAACTATTTTCTCCTATGAGCTTCAACATCTGCAGTTGACAACATACATTAAAAGTGAAAGAACTGTGTTTGGAAACAGGAAAAACCCTCAAATATTGTTATATTCATCCCAGTTCTCTGAATACCAAGAATTCCAGGGGGGCAGCATGCTTTTTGTGGTTGTTACATTTATTGCCTGTGCTTCACCAGTAAGTCCCAGGGCTACAATTTAAAATTCAGTATTTAAAATGGTATTAAAAAGAGGTATGTTCCTTTGGAAGGAGATCACTCATATGGCATTTTGAAATAGTTTCTGCCGCACCAAGATTGTCTTGAAAACAATAGAGCACAAAACACATGACATGGAATTCTCAAGCACGTTCATCAACTGTTAAAGGGTATTTATCTACCAGCATTCTCCCGCTAATCGGGTTAAATTTGTCTGTCTGTCTTTTACAGGAAGATCAATCAAAGAGGAAATCTCATGACAATATCGACCTACAAAAAATGAAAGATTCCTACCAGAGATGTTGCTTAAAAGGTCCATACCTGGAGACTAGCTTGCGATGGAGAATAATCTAATATTGTTTGATTTTTTAATTTAATAATGTTTTGCCACACTGCATAAAATTTTCTGGATTGTCCAGTCCTTTTATCAATCACATTTGATTCCTTATTTTCTCTGCATTTTCTCTGTGCTTTGTAATAGTTGCACTTATTTGCAAATGTGCAGGCAGAGCAGGATCTGTGTCAACAGCTGGGGTGGGTGGGCAATTGTTGTGATCCCATGCGCCATTCAGGGGTCTACTGAATGGCCCCCTGGACCCGCTCTTCCTTTTCACCATTGCAATGTGCTTGTTCACCCGACTCTCACTCTGGCCAGGTGGTTTGAAGGAAGAGGTGTAGAAGCAGGAGCCACAGACTGCTTGCTCATTGATTTTTTTGCCTGAAAAGCACATAGCAAATGGAGAAGAGAAGCAGCTGGCAATAATAGCATGGAGGGGATAGACTCACTGAGGAAACAGGGGCCCATGGAGGGTTCTTGCCCCTTCTCCCTTCAATCCTTGGAACTAGCATTGAGGTTGAACATAGGGGAAAGTTCACAGCTAGAAACAAGCCACTGCTTTCAAATCAGATCTCTAGGGCAACAACCTACTTCCAGAGCCCAAACAAAAATTTCACCCAGTCTCTCTATGCTGGGGTGAGAAGGAGGTAGACCACAATCTACTAGTAGACCTCTGAGTGATTTGCCAAAGATCTTCAAGAGTTCCTGACTCCCAATTATTTAACATATACATACTTATTTGATCACTTTGATCCTGCATTGCAGGGCGTTGGACTAGACGGCCCTCGTGATCCCTTCCAGCTCTACAATTCTATGATTCTATGATCTCTGTAACTTGCACCTTTAAAAGTTCCACCTAATGACTATATTCAGACAGCACTTTATTCCATTTTCCTCACATTTTCTTCTCTGTTAATTTTCACTTTTTTTTGATGTTTCACATAATGTAAAATACACTTCTGGAAATCTAACACAATGTAGTAGAAGTCTAATGTTCATTTCCATGTTAATTACTTACCTTTTAAAAAGAGGTTTGCAACCCTGTTTACTTGGTTGTGTTCTATAATTTTCCTGTGGTTTTCATGGATTGCTGTTCATGTGATGATTTCTTTTTTTTGGGGGGGGGAGTATTTCAGCATATGGCTTCAGTGGTGTGTGGGTGTGGGTGGGTGTGGGTGTAGGCAGCACTTTTCCGTTTCACCTTAGGCAGTGAAATGGTACATGCCGCCCCTAGCTTAGAGGTACCCCATCCTTTCATTCTAAGTTAATGTCTTTTCCACCTGGCCAGGGCCGGATTTAGGCTTGATGAGGCCCTAAGCTACTGAAGGTAATGGGGCCCTTTATATGTCCAGCTCTCATTTGTCAACAACAAATTGTCGCTGTTTTTTGTGTTGAATATATGCTATATATGCCCATTACTTACATCATAGGAGCCTACACAGCACAAAACACTGCTGCTGTATGTAGGTATTATTTTATTTTTTATCTTATATTTTGGAAATGTACATTTAGTTTTTTTTTCCTTTAAATTTTTTTGGGGGCCCCAAGAGAGTGGAGCCCTAAGCTATAGCTTGTTTAGCTTATACGTAAATCTGGGACTGCACCTGGCTCTGCTTGGTTGATCTTGACGTTCTAGTAGACAATCAGAGTAAATCTGCCAGGCCTGAAGTCTGCCCACTTCCGTTCTGCAGGTTTCTCCCCAACTGCTGTTTCCTCACACACAGGCAGCTTGAATCACATCTTCCTTGCAAGGGAGAAGGGAGGAAGTAAATCCCCTTCTACAACAGCTCCCCGTTATGCCAAAGCCAGCTGCAGATGCCAGTGGTTGCTTTTAAGGGCTTCTGGGTTGCAGGAATGTGTTGATTTGATTTATTTATTTAATGTAGTCATTGTTCAGAGATTTTGATGACAATGATTTATTACATTGGTTAGTGGGCATACAAACTACAGCACAGTGAAACCCAGCCTCACCACCCAAGGCCTGGGTAAATGAAAAGGTCTTGAACACCTAAAAACTGAAAACAGTGCTGCCAGGACACATTTCCCTGGAGAGAAGATTCTTTAAAAAAAAAAAATTATTGCAATTTTTAAAATTACAGATCTTACAGTGTCTGTTTCCTTTACAGTTACATAATCTATTTTTCTTTCTATACATATTCGTATTCATCTATTTCTCTATAATACTTAACTTCCCTCTATCTCTTAACAGCTTCATCTTCTCTCTTTATTTCCTTCTCTTTGTACTGTATTCCAATATACCTTCAACCTTTTCTCCTCCAGTTAACTTTTATTTTGTGAAATTTATCCCTGGAGAGAAGATTCTATAAAATGGGGGGTGGGGGGAGGCACCACTGAAAATACCAGTTCTCATGTGGTCACTGTCTCCATCTCTCAGGTGAGGCACATGAAAAAGGGGCTGGACTGGTTCTTGTGGTGAGAAATGGTCCTTGAGATATTGGGGTCCTGAGTTGCATAAGGCTTTATAGGTCAAAACCAGCACTTTGAATTGCATTTAGCTCATTTCTACTATTTCTGATCCCCCCCCCCACCCGCTGGTTCTATTTTGTGTTTTTAAAGTAAATTTGTAAACCACTCACTTTGTTTGATGGACGGTGTAAAATGCAATAAATAAGTAGAATACAGTTCCACAATCAAAATGAAAGATATTTGGGCATTTTGTCAGGTCTTCAGGATAATCTCCAGAAATCTACTGGTTCAACCAGCATATCTCACTCTTATATACAGTAGAATCATAGGACACCATATGTACACCAGAGATGGGCAAGGGTCATAGCTCAGGGATAGGGCACCTGCTTGCATACAGAAGATCCCAGGTTCAGCTCCAAGGAGGGCCAGGGATGTGCCCTGCCTGAAACCCTGCAGACCCCATGCTGGATGGACCAATGGCCTGACCAGGGCCATCTTTACTTGGGGTGCAAAGGGGGTGGGGCACATGGGCGCCGAATTCGGGGTGGGTGCCAAATGTATACCTATTGTATACTGTTCCCTCTCGATTGGTGGCAGTGAAAAGCAATGGAGCGAAAGTCCCCCCCAACCCGTCGCTCTGTTACTCCTTAGCGTCAAATTTTCCAGACGAGACAGGAAACAAAAGCAGTTTTTTCTGCTGCATCC